AAAAAAAAAAAAAAAAGAGATTAAGATTCGTTCTTTATTTCTTGTGATTTCATGTGTATTCTTTATTTATTATTATAAAAGTAACTAAAATGTAAAAATGGGAAACTCTTAGGATAGATTAGGCAAAATAAATAAATAATGATAAAAAATTTTCACAAGGCACGCAGGCAAGTAACATGGAGTGGCTTGTGGATAATGTAATTTGATAGTATAATGTGAGCTGCACATTCTCCAAGTGACTTACAGCTGATAATGGCACAAACAGTTTTTAGACATGGTTAAAAGGACAATAAAATTTAAGTATAAATAGATGTATACTGTCACGAGTTTAAAGCTACTTGAGATAAAGAAATGTAGTTTTATGTTACAATATGACGTCATTCCAGAAAGGAAAAGGGGTAATTTAGATTTTTTGTGGTTACGAGATTGGTCAAATTGACCAACCTTGTATAGAGTTAGGGTAAAGAAAATCATAGATAAAATATAAAGTTTTACTAAAAAAATGTTTGAAATGTATATAGTAGGTTTTAGATATTAAGCAAATGAAATTTGAGATTTTTGAGGTGTAGGAAAGTATTTTTAATCTTAACATGAAAATCACTTTGTACTCGGACTAGTAAAAAAAAAAAAACTTGATGTATTCACAAATCTTTAGTTAAAATTTTTTACTTCAGAATTTGATTTTTTTTATGTAAAACACATGTAATGTCTACTGAAAGTCTGCTAAATTTTGTGAAGATACACTTACTTTATTGAAACTATATTAAGTACAAAGTGGTCACATGGTTGGTCAGTTCAACTGACTTCATGTTGAGAGAGTTATTTTCATAAACTGATTTTATAACAATATGAATGATGGTTTTAAAGTGTTACTTCTATGGCTTTCATCAGCTTTTGTATGGTTTCTGCTGTATCTGCAGCAGTTTTTTTTTCCATAGATTAATGCATAGAGACGTCACTTGGAATTGTTAAAACTTTGTCTTATGATAATTACATGAATGTGTTGTGATACAAGTATGGATATAAAAGTACTAAATGTATATTTAAACCAACACATCAGTCACTTGATTGCATATAAAATTTATCCTAATAATTAATATCTATAAAGTAAAATTTCAACATGGATATAATCATAAGATTTTGCTTTATATTTGATTACTTTTGAGGATGAAAAAAAGTACATGAAGTTGTACTGGTGTATACATCAATACTTTATCCAGTAAAAGTTTTCTATAATATGTCCAAAGTAAAATCTGCTTCAAACTGTAAGTATGCTGATAAGCTGTTATTGTAGGATAGTAGTTACAAAATATTTATAACCCACAGTGATTAGTTTCTTCTCAGTACTACTGAAGCTGTCATTTAATTGTTTTTAGTGTTCCTGATGATTATAAAGTTAATCCTGGAGCAGTAGAAGCAATAGCTGAACACCCATCCAATCCAGATCATATATTAATAGGCTATAACCGTGGACTGATGGTCTTGTGGGACAAAAAGAACCAAACTGCAGATAAAACATATATTGGCAGCCAGGTATTAAAAATTGATAACCATTGAAGTTTAATGATAAGAACTTTACCATGAACTTCTTACTGTATTCAAGGTAGTTGTTAGAATTTTCAGTTCACTTTTATGACAATAATACTTTTTTTTTGTTTAGAATTTAAATTTTCAAAACTTAATTGTTTTTTCATTTGTTGTCATTTATTTCAGTAATAGTTTGTCATCTGAAAACAATCTGTAGTGAAAAAGAATTAATATATTTTAAAAGTAATATACCATTAACAAAATTTTCTCTCTGGTCTGTAATAATTCCTAATAATTAAATATTGAAATATGTATAAAGATTTTTCTTATCCTTTTATTACAAATTTGAAAATAATTATAATGAACCAAGGCAAGCTGTCATAACAATATTTATGACTAGATTTGGAATTTTTGTTAATTCTTAGCATTGGTAACTGCACATGTTAAGTTTTATTGTTTCTGTTTAGCAACTGTCATAAACACGTACAATTGAATTGTTAAAAGATTTTAATTTAATTTTGATCTTTTTATTAGATAGGATGTTTCATTTGGTTATTACTTATGTTACTTAACATAGCAATTGGAGTCAGTTTCGTGGTACAGGGATGGCAAACGATTTATGAGTGCTCACAATGATGGGAGCTACATTGTGTGGAGTACTGCAGATGCTTCCAAACCTGCAGAAAACCCAAAAACTCCTTATGGTAAGAATTGGTTTTGATCTTGTTAGAGGTAACTATTATATATTATTGAATTGATGGTTTTCTCTCAGTGATGCTGAAACAATATTTGAATATAGTATCATTTTAGCACTATAATAATGTAAAGTTTAGATCTTCATTCTGCTGGTATTTAGTACTGTAAAAATTCATTGTATCAGTTGACATAACAAAATCCATGCAACCATGTATCTGTACAGGGTGCATACATATCCTTAAAAAAAATTAAGAATGGAATTTCAGGAGCTTGAATGTGCTTGGAAGGAGGCCTTTTTTTTTGCAAAAGTACTTGAAAATATTTTAACGTTTATATATCTAACTTTAATGAATGTTGCGGAGTTGAGCTCATTAGTTTTTCTTTTTAGTCTACATTCACATGTTGAACAAACAAATAGGATTTTTATAAGATGTTAGTGGAATCTGATTGATTTTGATGTAGGTTTTAGCTTCCAAAAAGTGCTTGAAAAACATTCTGAGAGTGCTTATAAAGTACTTGAAATTTATCTAAGCAATTCAGTATGAACCATTATCTGTAACATTGGGACTGTAAGAATATTTTATAATTTATTGTGTTGTATCTTAGTTTTAAATGTAAAATGCTCAACAATTTTTCTTTTCTTATCAGGTCCATTTCCATGCAAAAGTATGAACAAAGTGTTGTGGCATTCTGTGAAAGGAGGGTGAGTACTTGTTTATGTTAATCCTTTCTGGACTGGTGGAACTTTTCAGTTGTCGAGGGCACACCTGCATAGCTAATTTCAAAATGAAAGTAATAATTCTACTTCAACAGTTCTTTCCTAATTAACCTTGATATTATCATATTGTCACTGAGGTTTTTGAGAAATATTGTGTTTTATCATTTGTATAACCCAAAAATGGAGAGTCGATTGTCTCAAATGCTGAGCATTGCATGATAATTAGGGGTAAACTTGTACAGTAGTTATGATATTTATTAGGCTGTATAAAAATTGGAAAATGAGGGAACTTAGCCTGTTGAAATTACCCATCATTATTCATTTTTTTCAAATTTGAACTCAGAATTTGCTTTTTTAAGTTTATTAAAAACGATTATTTTATGTACTTCACCCAGAAACTTTGTAGATTACTCATTTCTATTTAAACAAACAAAAAAGTTAAATGATCTATCATAGTTAAAACTGAGGTGCTAGGAGCAGTTGTAAATACAAACACATCTAGTCAATAGTTATCATAAAGACATCAGTTATACCAATATATTGTATGGAATATCAACTCAGAAGGTTTGTGTATTAATAAAAAATTTCTTTACCTCAGGGAGGACTTTATCATATTTTCTGGAGGAATGCCAAGAGCAAGTTATGGGGATCGTCACACAGTAACAGTCATGAAAGGAGAAAATCACCAAGTTCTGGACTTTACTTCTAAAGTTATTGATTTTGTTGCAATTACTGACAATTCCTCTGATGCTGGTACATTGAAAATCTTCATTATGAAGTTTTTTACCCTTCTTTATGCTAGAAAAACAATTGCTCATCCCACCTCTAGAAAACAAAATTATAGATTTATACACACACACACACACATATGCATATATAGAGAGAAGGTAAATGTACACGAATGAGCTTATTTGTATTATTCATGCTAAAACACTAGAAATACTTACATATTTTTTTTTAACATACTAGTACATCTGGACCTACAGCACTTGTTCACTTATCATTGCAGTATTTTAGGCATGATAATTTAACTTGGCTAGAAGTACTTGACATGCTTGTCAGTTTTCACCAATCCTGTTTTTGTTGTAGATGAAAGAGTTTTATAAATTTTTTGTTGCTTAAAGTAAATATATTTTTCTAATATTTTTGATATCTTTTACCATGTAAAATCCACAAGATACTACAGCGAATTGTTGACATTCAACCTTTTCTGTTTTAAAGAGATGAAAGAGTTTTATAAATTTTTTGTTGCTTAAAGTAAATATATTTTTCTAATATTTTTGATATCTTTTACCATGTAAAATCCACAAGATACTACAGCGAATTGTTGACATTCAACCTTTTCTGTTTTAAAGAGAATTGTAAAAGTTTCGTAAATTGCTGTCATTTGTACAGTTCACATGGACCTATTGTGCATATATTGATGTTTAAAAATAATACTTAAATACACAACTGGTAACCAATTGTACACTTAAGTGAATAAAGGTATGTTTATTATGCATTTTCATGTTAAACTTTCAAAAATTTTATTACTAGGTGTGGCTAACACTCAGTAAAGATTTGAATGTATCTGTAGTTTTTTTTTTCCCCATGTATTTGTTAACTTTTCATGTTCATTAATTTAAAGTGAATCTTTTTTTTAAGTTTTGACATGTTGTGATTTTAATTCTGATTAAATCAAGCTACCTACAAATATTGGAAATAATGTAGCTTTAAAACAAAACTAAGGTTTGATGATATAGATAATTTACTAAACATGAGTTAATTTGTTCTTTATTACTTTGTTGCTACTGAAAGGATTTAAACACTTTGAAAGGATTATAACTGTGATAATTTCAAGTTATAAATGGTATAGCATAATATTTTTGCTTGCTTCTGTATTATGATTTAATAGTGCTTTTATCTTTTTAGAATTCGACAACCCTGGATCGCTGCTGGTCCTTGTGGAAGAAGAACTTGTTGCAATTGATTTGGAAACAGAAGGATGGCCAGCATTCCGTCAGCCTTATCTTGCAAGTCTTCATTCCTCAGCAATAACATGTACCCAACACTGCAGCCAAGTACCACAAGATTTATGGGACAAAATTGTAGCTGCTGGCAATAAACAAATAGTAAACCATTACTCTTCCAGGGTGAGAATGCTAGTTTAATGTAGTTAAGAGATCAAGTTTGATATATGTTGAACTGAATTTAATAATTTTTTTTTTCCAGGAAATACTTATGGTATGATCCAAAAAACATGGCTATATTTTTATTTAATTTGTCCATGAATGTCTTTTAAAGTGCTCTAACATGGTAATGTTTAAAACTGTGTTCCTAAGGTCCATCCTAGTTTGAATAAAGGATGGAAATGCAGGCACTGGTAATTCAAGACAATAGGTCATAGGAATGTGAGAATAGAATTGAAGACTGAAGCTATTGTTTCATGGTGGTGAAATGAGAATATTGAAAATTATATTATATTACAGCATGTGGGAGTATGTAGGTAATCAGAAGTAAAGTTATAACAGAATATTGAAGGAAATGTAGATATTATGTGTTTAAAGGATTGAAAACTTTAATGTTGTCATGTATTTCAGTTCAGTTGCAACTAGTATTTATTGCTCAAAGAAACATTGCTTATTTTAAAATCGTGTAAATTTTTCTAAAGTGATTATTATAATTTCTTTGGTTTGTTCTTTGCTTTTCTATGACTTATTTGATTAAAATAATTGTTTTTCTGCCTTTAGGATTGGCCAGTCACTGGTGGTAAAAATCTTGCAGAATCTCCAAGTGTACGAGAGTTAATACTTACTGGACATGAAGATGGTACCATAAGATTTTGGGATGCTTCTGGTGTGTGTCTAAAACACATGTACACTCTAAGTACCTCCAGTCTTTTTGAAGGTGAAGAACATGATCATTCACCCACTGAAGAAGGAGAGGAATGGCCCCCTTTTCGTAAAGTAAGCGTAATTTGGTGTTGATTTTTTTATGTGTAACTTCCCTTCCGTATTTAAAATTAACTGTAGAATTGTTTTAATATATAAGCTGTTGTCATCCTTATATTATATGGATCTGAGATTTGGTTTTAAGCATGTGTAGTGATAGCACATGGAAAATATTTTGGAAGATAACAGAATTATGCAAAGAAACTGCAACATTTATGTTTGAAAAAATAAAATAGTTTAACACATTTTATAGACGTAGTGATGAAAGTTGCAGTTAACTGCTTTACAAGAAATTAAAAACGGCTTGCTTTAAAAACATAAAACAGGAGAGTAAGCTTTTTATGGAAGTGCTCTGTATATTTATATACCAGCTTAAAAGAAATAATGTTATCTAATAACTATTAAATAGTTTAACTAAACAAGTTCTGGATTATAAATTTTACTAACAGTGAGATTTCCTCTTCACATGTTCTTCTGATTGGTGACTAACCTGCAGATTTCCAACATTCCTGAAGGGAAGGTAACAATCAGTTTTTATGGTTTCCAGCAGTAACTGGATATGCATTTAAAAAATCCCTACCCCCCTTTATTTTCACCTTGTGCTGCAATATAAGATTATTGTGGTTGGGCTTAGTGGCTGAAAATAACCTGAGTAAAGCATATATATTCAGTGTCAAATAAAAATGAAAGCAAACTTTTGTTTTATGTGTGGCAGGGCTTGAAATTTGCTTTATCCACTCTGAGGAGTTTGATACCCTTAAAAGTTTCATTAGCCAAGAATATAATTCACAGCAACAGGTCACTAAATTTTTAACTGGTCACAACAAGTCATTGTTACTCATCTGACATTTGTCCACTCTTTAAAGTAATACACATCTAAGCATGGAGAGTACATGGGTATGTGGGAAAAATAAAACTGATTCATTTAGCTTAGCATCCTTACTTCTTTTTTTTTGTAGAAATTAAGAAGTTTCTAACAGTTTTTTTGTTCTTCAAAAGTTGCTGAAATATTTTCATTTTTTAACATTCGTATTCAAATTCAAATATTTTGCACAATACAGTTTTTAACATAAAAAAACTACAGGTATAATAAATATTTGAAGTTGAGCAAGCTTAAATTAGTCTAAAGATAACATCTAAAAACAATACTAAAATATACTGTGCTTACTTTATACTTCCAATGTTTCACGAGACATACGGGTCAATAAGCTAAAGTTTTATGTGAATGAAAGGAGGTAGAACATGCACTAAGAGTCAGGAAATGCCTGGTCCCTATCTTTTGATCGTGTGTCCCTTTATAGGCATAGTTTACGCTTGCACTAGAGGCACACTCGTCCATTCTTGTCAGTGTATGCAGTGACCCATCACAGACCATTTGTTGTCAGTTAAACTGACTGTTGACTTTAAACTCTGCTGTCCAACTTGCTTTTTCAAACACTCACTGTTGGTATGTGAGTTAGTGGAAATACTGTACATTGATTATTGTAACTGGCAGAAACATAGGAATAATATGATGCAGTAGTGGAATAATATAAGAACAAGTATTAATCAAAGCAGTGGTAAAAGCCTTTTGCTTTCTTGTACTTTTTCATTCCTCAGCTTCATTTTTTCTTTTTTCTTTTACATAATTTTCACATGCCTTTCTGCACATATTTATCTATTTCAGATTATCATTCAGAACAATTCAGCACTACAAGGTGTTTTGCATGTTTTCAGAAAGTACAGACAGTTGCACTGTATCACACATGCTGTTGCTTTACACTTTGAATTGAAATATGTTGTAAAGAAAATAAATTTTATATTAATATAAAAATCTTTTGTCTGTGACTTAATAATGATAGCACTGTTATTTAACACCTTTTAGTTTATGGTAGCTGTATATATGATCCTCTCAAATTCTCTGTATTTCTAAATCTATCATCTGTAAAGAACTTCATTTTCAACTTAAAAAACATTTTGAGCTAAATATTTGCTCATCCTCGTTTCGTGATTTTGTTCTTGCATATTTGAACAGTTATAAAGTTATCTTGATAAATATTTTTACCCTTTAAAATTTCTTAAGCTGAGAGGAGACAGTGTTTCAGCAATATATCTAACTGATAAAATTCTTGTAATATTTATGCCAAGTAACTTTATTTAATTTTTTTTTTATTTGAACCTTCATTATTAGTGAAATAGATCACTTTTTGTTTAGTTGATATTTTCTTATTACCGTGGAATCAAAACATGTCATTGATTCAAATGTAAGTGCATGCATAAGTTACTTGTGAAAGGAATTTGAAATGCTGGAGCAGTTCTTTTGAAATGAGTTAGATGATGTAAAACAAAAACGTAACCATTTGTATGAAACACCAGTGCATTGATATAGCAAGTGGTTTAATATTCAAAATAGTTCACATACTTAATTTGTTGTAAAAAAAAAATTATCTCTGGCAAAATGTACCATCACATGTAAATGTATTTTAGAATGTAGATGAACATGAAAATGTTTTATTTAAAATTTGAGGAGAAAATGTAAGTGCTGTCCTTTACAATATAGTGCAACAGTGAATTTCAAGCCCTATTGTTTTCAAAAGGTGAAGCCTTTTTTTTATTTCTTGACAAAGCCTGCTTGAAATATGTATAATTAGGTGTTTTTCATTATACCTGAAGTAAATGTGCAATAGCAAAGTATTTTTGAATTACATTGTTAATGTCATCATGGTGCCACATTGTTGAAAATGGTTGTTGCTTGATGTTTGTCTGTGTATTAAATTTTTTTTTTGTCAAAGCTTTTTTTTTAACTTCTTTAAGGCTGCTATATGTTTGTTTTTTAAGTTTGTGCAACTACGTTTATGCTGCACGTCTGAAAAGCTTTACAGAAAATATCATGCTGGTTTTCTCAAAAAGTCATATTTTCACTTGTACGTGAAATAGTAACTACTTGTTAATATATTGAAGTAACCAAACTTGGTTATTAACGATTTCTTCCTTGGATGCATTGCATTGTTCAACATAGTCTCTCAGTAGTACTTTAAAAATGGATTTCAGCCTTTACAAATTTTGAGTGGTAACATGTTAAAGGCCTTAAGAGTTTGTATTGTATACACTGCAACTCAACAGCATTTATCAGAGGGTCAGTGGTGGCAGTCAAATGTAAATGTTGTTAATGAAAAAGTAGTGACTATCAGCATTTAATTTTAGTATACTTGGAACTTTGTGGCTTTTAACTACAGGCTTTGTGGTTGTTATAGTTTTCATATTATAACTTTTAATACAGTATGCATATCTTCAAGACATTTTGCAGATTATCAGTAAACAATACATGGTTATCATACACAAAATATCAGTGTTTTTAGTAAAGTTTTAGGATTTTTTAAGCAATGATTTGCTCATGCTTTTTTTTCTTTTCAAATGTTGACTGTCCAACATGCAAAGTAATTTTGATTTTAAGGTTAAAAATACTTTTGTGAAACAGAAAATTGTGAAATTTCACAGGTGAAATCTTTATAACCTCCAAATAATTATCAAACGTTTTTTGTTTAGAAAAAACTTTTATCTGTTATTTTTACCATTGTATCTCTGAATGGGTTTGTTGACTTCACAGATCTCATAACCAACATAAAAAATTAGGAAATAGATATTGTTGCGTATCTGCTCATCTTTGAATTTCCGGTATAAATTCTTTCCGAGGAACTTCAGCGATACAAGTCCTTTCTTAATTAAAACTAGTTTATTCTTACTTGATACAACTTTGTATATATGCTCTATACGCTTCCCATCGTCTTCCTGTGGCTTTCTTAGTACTAAATCACCCCTATTGCTGACACTCATGTCTGGA